TTTTTTTTTTTTCTTGGTTGAAACATAATGTTTGTGTATATATTGAAAGTTTGGCTTTGGATGATATTTACACTTGATTTATGTTGAATGAGAATCATGTTTAATTAAACAAGTTCTATGTTTAGTTGTTTTGCACTTAGATAAAATAGTTCATTAGTAGGTGAACAAAAGATCATTTTATCAGCCACATGTGAAACAAGAATGATTGGTTCACAACCTAGATGGAAATGAACAAACCATCAGAACGATTGTAGTGTCAACCGTACAGTTGATCTTGACTGATTAGTTGCACTAGTACATTTATGTACTTGAACAAGATCCCCGAGATGAGTAATTCGTTTTATACTAATCATCGTAAACAAACTAGGTCTCGAATAATTACTGCGTTCTCTTAACCTGTAAGATATAAACAGACATGTGTATACAGTAGCTATTACTTTGATTCACTAAAAGTGAGGTTCATTCTGCTGGAACAAGATTCTTGATGTTTTGGGTAATAGTGTTGCATGTACGATGTACTATTAGAATATTTACGGTCACCATATGCGTTATTTTGACATTATTATGGTAAACCCTGCAGGTGGATTAAGTTTCGACATTATAATAATGTGATAAGTGGTGCTAGCTTCAGTTTACAAGATATTCATTAATTCTTGATTATATGCAACCAAATTAATTAATTGACATTATATCTTAAACGGATGAGGTAATTTGAGTATATATTATTGGAGTCTCGAATTAATTCGGAGATGATAAGGGAGTTCAATAATGTTTATGTTAGCGGATTGAGACATTATTTAAGTAATGGCAAGAGTGGGCTTGGCTCACAGTTAGGCCCAATACTTAAGGAGCCCAAGTCATCACCTCCTTATGATCCCTATTGTAGCTCTATTAATACATCATTAAGCTCATGGGATTAAAGGGAACACATGCAGCCACAGGTTACATAACTCGGGTGCCCTCTCTAGTTCCCATAGTCGAGCTTTGTCTTCGTTTTGTTGCTCCACCGATATAAACATAGAGATGTTCGAGTAATACAGTAGAAGATCCCAAGGCCGAGACCCCGAGATCACCACCGCAGACGAGCCCCGCGACTGCCGTGCACAAAGCCATCGACCATTACAAGTGAGCCGCAACCACCAGCCGCAGACCGCAAACCAGTCGTGACGACCTCGCTCTCGGTGATCCACCGCAGCAGCCTCACATCGCACACAACCTGCTCTTGGCGATCACCGCGTGCGATCCCGTCCGCCAGCCACAGCCTCTACATCCTCGCGCTCCCAGTAATCCTGCGACCGCGACACGATCGCGTTGCTCCCGGCAGCCATCGTCTGCAACGTGCTACTCGTGGTGATACTCCCGACGAGATTCTCGATGTTCGACGAGAAGAAATCCGGCAACCCAACGAATTCCGAGAACAAACAATCTCTAAGGATTTTAAGCCGTAAGTTTTCAACGCTAAACCTCTAGATCTGTTACGCGTAGGTTTATTGTTGTTATTAATTTGTGACTTGTGCATAATGAGATCCTTACTGTTCCCAAACATACATTATCCGAATGCTTTCATTAAGCATATTTTTTCTTATTTCTTCAGGCCATAGTATGCTTGTTTTGGATGTGGTTTATGCTTCTAAAATTATTCTAAGGAGATTTTACTACGACTTTATGTTGATTAATCAGGAGGGTTTAAAGAAGTTGTGAATACTGCTTGGAAATTCACTATCTCTGGTCCAAATTTATACAATCCTCAAGATAGAGTAAGGAATGTTAGAGTGACTTCATTAGGTTTTCAAAATTCAGCTAAAGCTATTTCTATTCTCAAAGATAAGTTGAATGTATTAGATCAATGGGGGGAAAATAAGGACTAGGAGGCCTGGAGACATGTAGGTCGACCTTGCTTCCCTCTGCTTATAAGAAAGAAGAAATTTATTGGAAACAGAAAACTAGAATTACTTGGCATAGAGATGGGGATAAAAATCTAAATTCTTTCATGCCATTGTTAAATATAGAAGAAAAATAAATTGTCTTGAAAACCTTCTTAATTCAATTGGATGAAGATGTGAAAATGATCAAGAGACTATAGAAGTGATAGAAAATTATTTTGAAAATCTGTTTAGAATCTTCAATCCTTTGGTTGAGAACTATGGCCTTGACAGTATTCCTATCTCTATAGCTAGTAATGAATCAGAAACTAACCCGTGAAGTTAGGGAGGAGTAGATCAAAGAGGGACTTAGTAAGATGAACAATGAGAAAGCCCCTGGGGCTGATGACATGATTGCTTTATTTTTTTCACAAATCCAGGGAAACTGTCAAAGTTTACCTCTGTTCTGCTATTCGTTTTTTTTAAGGGCAGAATTCCCAAAGGAATTAACCATATCATAATTACTCTAATCCCAAAAAAAAAAAAAATACCCACTATTTGTTTCTAGTTAAAGACACATTAGCTTGTGTAATGTCATTTATAAACTTATGACGAAGATTTCTTTCAATCAGATTGAAAGTTTCCCTTCACTCTTGCATATCTGCCTCCTAATCAGCCTTTGTCCCAAGGAGGCAGATTCTTGATAATGTTATCATTACAAATGAATCCATGCACTTCTTAAATAGTAAGAGAAAGGATAAAGAAAACTTCATGGTTGTCAAGCTTGAAATGTTAAGAGCTTATGATAGAGTGGAATTGGATTTCTTGGACATGGTCTATAGAAAAATGGGGTTTTGTGAAGTCTCTGTGTCTTGGATCATCTGTTGTATATGCTCTTCTTCCTTTTATTTCAACATTAAAGGGAAACTTTTAGGTTGTGTAGAGCCTAGTAGAGGTCTTAGGCAAAGGGACCCCCTGTCCCCTTATCTGTTTATTTTAATTACTGAAGCATTTTCCCATCTGGTTAGGTAGGCTAATATTAATGTCTTTTTCAAAGGTATTATAATATGTAAAAAAAAGATCACTATCATTTCTCAATTTTTTGCAGATGACTCAGTTTTCTTCTGTAAAGCTGATGCTTTTCATGCTCAACTTATTCAAAAAAATTGTAGAACACTATAGGCCAGCTTCAAGACAGTTGGTGAACCTAAATAAGTCGTCAATGTTCTTTTCTAAGAATACTTCTGTTAGTACTGTGTCTGAGGTTAGAATGATCTATAAGGATGTTAACTATGTCAAATCTACTAGGTATCTAGGGATCCCTTTGGGAATCGGTAGATCTATGTGAGATATATCAAATCTGTGAGTAAAGCAGTGTCAAACTAAATTTCCAATTGGAAAAATCACTTCTCGAGCGAGAATGGAAAAAAGGTCCTCATTAAGTCAATAATTAGTACTCTTTCAATCTACATAATATCTTGTTTCAGAATCTTAACCTCTATCTGTGAGGCAAATTCATAAGAAGTCAGGAAACTTTTGGTGGGGACAAAAAGAGAGAGGGGGATTTGAAATCATTGGGCCAATTGGGATAGACTGGCCAAATCTAAGAGTGAGTGAGGGTTAGGGTTTAGAAACTCGAAGGCTTTCATTGAAAATCTTATAGTCAATCAGTTGTGGAGAGTCTTAACTTGTAACGCCCTATTTCGTAAGAAGTCACAGGGGTGTGTTGAACCTGAACCCACAAAAGCGAAGAATTGATTAACCTGCTGTGGTTATGCTCCATCTCCCAAGTCTAGTGGAGAGACGTCACCTGACTCAAATGAGGTTGGTGATTCTGTTGAGAAGGAAATTGATGCTTTTGTTGGTGAAGATGGATCTGAGAAAGAAAAATCTCTTG